CACTGCTAAATTAGGGACGGCTAGCGCAGGTAGCCCTCGTGTAGCTTTGAGCGAAATTCAAAACAAACAAACAAATTAAAAAAATGTTCATTGTGGTGAACGAAATAACAATTCGATCTAAATAAGAGTTTATTTTTCTTTCCGATTTGTAAAAAATCCTTAGGTGATAGACAAAAATTAATATTATTTTTTTAATTTTGGAAAATACGTTATTAAAAACAAAACAACTTTTATGAAGTTTAAATCCGCAGACCTATGTACTCCATTACTCTTCGAACATTTTATATTATGGAATATTGTTTTCTAAACTTTGCTTGATATAATATAACTTATATATATGTTCCAATTTCGAGTTATTTGTGTGTAATAGCTTCTTCCTTTTAAAATATTAAGCCCTTTAATCTATTATCCACGCGCTAATGTGGTATCTATCTGAATATTTTGTTATTATTAAGCACAAAGCTACACAAAGGGCTATCTATTCTCTGCCCACCACGAATATCGAAACCCGGTTTCTAGCAGTATAAGTCCACATACATATCACTGTGCCGTTATATCTGTCTGTTAAAAATCGCTTCGAGTCATAGCAGTAATTATTATTTTAGCGCAAATTGACATAGTATTATCAGATAATTATCAGCAAGTTGAAAGTATAAAGCGTTGTATAAATTAATATGATTCCTGACAACTTATTACAACTTACAATTTATTTCAAATCCTTTAATTTTGACTTATCACTAATGTTTAATCGACTTAATTTGGGTTTTGAATTTGTTAAAAGTACATTTTTGAGGTAATTAACAGCATGGGAACTTTATAAGGGAAGCTGTTATGTTATAGACATCGTCTACAAATTTTGTATATTTTATCTTTGTTTTATTCCCTTTTCGACACAAAGTTTTCCTTGATAAAAAATGTAATCCAGTTCAAGTACAGCGTGAAGACGGAAGTGATTTTTTTTTCTACAGCAAATAAATGTTCAGAAACAATGCTGTTGTTTTAATAAATCAAACAGCCTAAAGACTTAGTATAAATCGAAGTGTTTCTTCTGAAGCGTGGTAGAACAAACTAACACGAAAAGTAATAAGCTAGTATGTTATTACACAATAAATAAAATCTCTATATCCGAGAGAAAGATTACTTCTCCTGTTTGATAATTTATTTTTAAGTTCTGGTAATAAAGATGTAAAACAAAAATAAGATTAAATTCTGTACAATGTTTACTTTAAAAGTATAAGGATTGTACGACTTTTCAACATAAACAGAACACGTTAAAATGGCCAGCCAATCACGTGGAACTATTTGAACCCACGAGCTGCAGAACCGATGACAAGCATTACTACATACATCGTGCCGAAACTCTACATGATGGCTGAGGATGCAGTTGCTATGGGTACGAAACTCACTTAAGTATTCTATCAGGACATTTTTATAACCCAATGCATATTTTATTGCGTACACGATTCAACTAAGCAAAGCAGTATTAAAAATTCATCAACTAACTATACTGTTTTATCATAGATGTACAGTAAATTATTTTGTCATATTTTGCTCACAAGTGTTTTTGCAACATTTTGAAATAAAATATAATAAAGGGGGGAAATATGAGGCATGGTTTACGTTTTCTGACATCTCTCTTGATTACGTCTATTACTTTTAAAGTGAATACTAGTTCAGAAAGAAGGGCAGACATACCCACATCAACTTAACAGTTTAGTGTACTTTTAGTGTTAACGAGACTGACTGGACAGTTTAATAAGACCCTCATCTAATTCAGGATTGGATCGTTTTTCGCCGTTATTACAGCATGGACCCAGCGTGCCACAGATGTCTTGTACAATTGTAGCCCAAGGGACGAAGAATGTGATCTGCAATCGATTTACAGATGTCAGCTGAGGATTATATTTCAATTTTAAAATTCAGTTCAAATATGGTCAAATTAATTGAGTTCCGGATCCAACCTTAGTCAAGGAAGATGATTGAAATCAATGACATTCTATTCTAATCAATTTTGGGCAATATAGACGAATACTTGCAGTATCGACTTGGAAAGATCTTGTCCAACAGGGTGGATATGTGGAGTGGACATGATAGGCAGCTTAGATACATCCTGGATGTTATTCCCCTTTATAAAGGAACTAAAGGACTCAGTCCCCACCACGTAAATGTCCCCTACACCAATACACGGACTCCAGTGCTGTCAGAAAAACAAAAGCAAAGTCAAATAATTCATGAAGTTTTCTACATATTCTTTTCTCGTCCAATTCATCAGATCACAGCATGCACTTTCATTAATTCATTTTTACCCAGTTCTCGCTCCAAGCCCCATTAAAGCCATGCTTACCTGTTTAAATTCGAGAAAAGAGTGGCAGATGTTTTCCCTTTCGATCTCCAATGTTAATATATGTGATGTCAGATGCATTTGAATAGCCAGCCAAAAAAACGGTGTTTGATAACGATGCTCTATCTATACATATATCTATTATATATCCCTTTCACTGTCGGAGAGACCTTTCCCATTAAGTTATGACAACACCTTCGGATTCATGGGGCTCACACACATGATTAATCTATTTTGGTCAGAGAATTAAATGAAGTTTTCTGTGAATGTATGAGTGGAAGCTATGTTAAAGTAGTATTAAGAAATCAACTAGCCAACTGCAAACACTAGTTATATGTAAAGTTGTAGCATAAAAGCAAACGCTATTTCTAAGTAAATAATTTCTGTTTAAAAATCAAAGGCAAACAACTGCACTCACACAGTAATTCAAAATAATTTAATAACAAAAGAAAACAAGTGTATTTAGATGCAGTGTGTAGAAAAGAAAGCATAGATAGTTTATTGAATGAAAAACATAGATATATATAAATGCAATTATCAAAATGAATAAACAGGTGTATTTAGATGCAGTGTGTAGAAAAGAAAGCATAAATAGTTTATTGAATGAAAACATAGATATATATAAATGCAATTATCAAAATGAATAAACAGGTGTATTTAGATGCAGTGTGTAGAAAAGAAAGCATAGATAGTTTATTGAATGAAAAACATAGATATATATAAATGCAATTATCAAAATGAATAAATAAGTGTATTTAGATGCAGTGTGTAGAAGAAAAAAAACATAGCTAGTTTCTTGAATGAAAAAAATAGATATATATAAGTGCAATTATCAAAATCAATAAACTTGGTTTCATATTTTGTTAGATTTACTTGCCAGAACGACACAGCGTTTTTGTAGACTTCAAAGTACTACTAACCTTACTTTTCATGAGCTTGAAATCCATTCTAGCAATACTAAACTACAAAATATTAACGTGATAATGAGCCAAGTGTGTCTTAGTAGTTAACGTGCCGTATTGTGAGCTTAGGGATCCATGGTTTGCGTCCCGTTATCTCAAAACAAAACAGTGCACCGCTCTTTGAAGCCGTAGGTGCGTTATGAGGGTAACAGTCAAATTGTATTATTCGATTAGAGTTACCAATTGAGAGTTTTATCTAGCTGCTACCTTCCTTTTAATTTCTCAGTTCAAAATTATGGACGGCTGACGCAGATAACCTTTCTGTAGCTTTTCGCAAACTTCCAAAACAAACAACTTAAAGTCATATTCACATACATTACTGAGAGCCTGATTATAATCAAACAACTCTACTGGAATTGCCTAAACTCAAATAAACCGCACTGGAGTAGAGAGAAACTGGAAGCGAATTCAGGATGAGGAAAATGCTTACAATGGAAATTAACTTTTTAGTTAATAAGTCATATTATCTGAGTCCTAGTAAGCACTTGAGGGTTGTTTCGTATTTATTAACTAGTCTTTATGCACTTGGTAATGACTGATGACAACAATTGTTCGGAGTCGTATTAACGTCAAATGAACGATTAAAATACGCGGTAAATATTTCATATCAACTTCACATGACTTAACGACCAGCAATTTGTGGTTGACATGTTATCTTGTACGTTTACAAACGTATTGCCATGTCACGAGTGTTCTTCAAGTTAGGAATATTATAATATCAATCTGAAAAATGACGAAACATTCTGTCAGATATACTTAGATAAATCCACACTGTTTATTTATTTGATTTACGTTTTGATTATGTTATATGAAAAGCATTTTTTCAAATTCAACTGAACTGCTGTTTTTAACAGAAATCAAGACAAATGAAATGGCAGACTTACAAATAACAACAAAAAAAAAGTCAGATATGTACTAACATTACTGAACGATCGAGAGCCATGCTGGCGAATTGTTATTACTGTGAGCACTGTTGAAGTTGGAAGTTGATGACAGAATAATTTATCGGTGCATCCTCAGCGTGAATTATCCGATTCAATAAATATGACAGGAAGATCCATTTGTCATTTTCAGTTTAACACGTAAAAGTTTGCTTCGATCTCAGTAGAAATGACGAACCAGTAAGCGGCTGAAACTGTTAATGATACGTCTTGCGTCACTTTGTCTACTTTTATCCGACATTGATGATAGTGTGAGTATCCAGAGAACGTGTTCAGCTGCATCTAAGGATTGTTATTATGGCGAAAGAGTCTAGTCTCTCAAAGAAAGAGAAATACACCTTTTACCAGCAGAAAAAAATAATTGTCTAGAAAATAAAATTTCACAGCTTTATAATATAGTATTTAATTGTTACATAAATCCTATCATAAATTAGGTGATTAAAGTACATGTTTCCAAGAAGTGTTTTAATTTCTTAATCGTTTTTTTATGTTTATATATATATCTATATTTGTTTAGGTAATCTCGTGAGTTGCATCGTCAACCACTTTCAAACTGTCAACTGCAGAACAAAAGCTATTATTGAAAATGAACTCACATAAGGACTAATTCACTAATAAGTTAATAAATAGATATAAGGTTGTTATCTGTAATAAGCGATCCTTTAAATGCGTCTTATTATCTGTAAAATAAAACGTAGTAATTTGCTTTTGTTTTGTTTGTAATTAAGCACAAAGTTACACAATGGGCTATCTGTGCTCTTGCTTTGTAAGTCCGCAGACAAACCACTGTGCCATTAGGGGGCGAAACGTAATAAATATCTAAGTAAAAACAAAAACTAAACTAAAACTATGATGACTAACCACTTTTACGACACATAAAACACGTAATACGCTTAAAGCCATTCTGTAAAATCTTAACTCATGTAGTTTATGAAAAGTAAACGAAGACATAGAGTTTTAAATTTTAGTTTCTATATTTAATTTCACATAGTTTATTGACTGATTGATCGTATTTGTAGCTGTTTGTCTTTGTAAACGTTTGTAATAAGTAGGAGGAGGGTTTGGCCGCACTGACTTTATAACTAACCAGTTTTCATGTTTTATCCGTATTCATGATCAACAACTGTCCAATTAACTCAAGATTGTGGAGTATTAGCGACCTTTTTATACCTTAATGGTAGCATGCCAAGTAATTAGTCCTCGAGCAATAAAGATATTGTAAGGTATACCATACTTTAGTAAGCTTTACTGTAGCTGCCTTTCCCATAATACAAAAAATCAATTTTATAACATGTAATAATGATGATGGGAAACTAGACATCTAAATGTTAGTTGCAAAAATGAATGTCAAACGCGCTGTCATAAAATATAATACAAGATTATTCACAGTATTTTGGATATAAATAATTTATGTCTGTACTCCGTGTTTTTGCAGATGATAGGGAAATACGCGAATACACACACGTACGCCCCACCTGTAATTGTTAAAACATAGTAAGTATCATAAAAATACTATATTTGATATCTATAAATTGGTTTTGTTTTTGAATTTCGCGCAAAGCTACACGCTAGCCGTCCCTAATTTAGCAGTGTAAGACTAGAGGGAAGGCAGCTAGTCATCACCACCCACCGCCAACTCTTGGGCTACTCTTTTACCAACGAATAGTAGGATTGACCGTCACATTATAATGTCCCCACGGCTGAAAGGGTGTGTTTGGCATGTTTGGTGTGATGGGGATTCGAACCCGCGACCCTCAGATTACGAGTCGAGTGCCCTAACAACCTGGCCATGCCAGGCCCTATAAATTGGTATAAAGTACTGTATTTCATGATGGTAATAAGTACAGGTTCATACTGGCTGAAGGTTACTCATGCTGGTTTACTTCGTAAAGCAAAGATATGAATTTCTATTTATTGTCAATGGTTTAGACTTATATTCTTGTCAGTCAACACAATGAATTATTCATGAGTTTAATAAGACAAGCCTTTAAAAATTCAGAACTGAAACTACTAACGTGTTTTGCAATAAATAAAGTTTGCCTATCATATAAAAGACTATTACTGATGTGTTTGTTTGTTTTTTAATTTCGCGCAAAGCTACACAAGGGCTATTTGCGCTAGCCGTCCCTAATTTAGCAGTGTAAGATTAAAGGGAAGGCAGCTAGTCACCACCACCCACCGCCAACTCTTGGGGTACTCTTTTACAAACGAATAGTGGGATTGCCCGTCACATTATAACGCCCCCACGGCTGAAAGGGCGAGCATGTTTGGTGGGACGGGGATTCGAACCCGCGACTCGCAGATTGCGAGTCGAGCGCCCTGACCACCTGGTTATGCCGGTTTTTTTCTGATGTGAGAAAAAATGGCCTGAATGAACAAAGTATAGTGCTTAAAAACTAATGTTAATTATTTTAATAAAATAATGATTAGCAGCTATTTATTACTAAAAATATAAAATTTCATTTTAACTTAATAGTGTCCTTGTGAATTGGGTTAGATATCTAATTAATAGTGTGCTGGTGAATTTGGTTAGATATCTAATTAATGGGCTACCTGTGTTTTGCCCTCCATGGGTATCGAAACCCGGTTTTTAGCGTTATAAACTTTTAGACTTACCGCTGAGTCATTAGGGGCCTGATTATGAGAAATCCAAGTTTATTTTGAAAAGTTATAGTGTGTTCGTTTAATACAAAACATTTTATCCATTTCTGATAGTTACAATTTTAATTTTTAGTGAGTTTTTGCTTAAAGCTAATAATTTTTGTGAATCTGTGTAACAATATTTTACATCCTTTCTTTATTTGAACAAAATCAAAGTATCGATACAAAATTTACATATGATGTTAGTTTTTCCACTGTATCATTTAAGCATAAATGTACCAACAATATTATGGGTTATGAAGTCAACAGAAAATAAATTATGAAATTTAACTGAAATACTTACAGAGCAAAAGTATTATCGTATACAGCTTCTAAGACAGTACAAAAAAAAGCATTATTTTAACAGAGAGATTTAAAAAGCAAGGTTAATTTCCAAACATTTCCACCCAGCAAATTTCATTCAATTTACTAAAGCATTAAATACTATGAAGAAGTTCTTAGTTAAGCTACAAGTAATTCTGTGGAAGAAAAATATCATTAGAAATAACAGTAGTCCTAGTAATTCAGTTGCTTTTAGAGTAATGATCTTATCGATCACAGTTGGCTAAGTGCATTTTCCCACAAGATTCACTAACCCAGCTTCAATTAGACTGATTGTTCTTGTAGTATTCTACATTCAAGAATGTACGACGTTCTTATAAGTTATCTAAAAAAAAAAATCTGGTTTCAGAGCAGGTGAGCCGGATTGGACTTTTAACCTCATCCAAACTGTATCTGTCAGAATCAAAGATGCACAAGATACATAAACTAAATTTACACAAAGTTTGGAATATTTTGTTCCTTACCATCTGTTCCATTAAAGCCTGGACTTCCGGGCGTTCCTGGAATACCAGATATACCGTCTACTCCTGGAAGTCCGTCTGCGCCATCGCGTCCAGGTACACCATCTAAACCTGGTTCACCAGGAAGACCATCTCGACCATCAAGACCCGGTATACCTGGCTCTCCTGGTTCTCCTACACCATTTTATAATAAAAGATGAAGTACTCAATATATAAACTAATGATTAAAAATAAAAAAAAACATAAGGTCGTACACAGTAAGTGAAATAGGTAAAACAAGTGATAGTTAATATGAGTTCAACAAACAGAAAAGTACTCTAAAATAGAATAATTGAAGAACAATCTCAAAGGTATAATAAGCACATAAAGATACGAAAAACTGTGAAAATGTAAATTAGACAAACGATCAGCTAGGTAATCCCTTTAATAAATTAAAAAGTAAATGTTGGCTATAAAATAAGACAGACTATCTTGTGTATTTTAGGATTAAAGGGGAAAAAATCAGAAGGATGAATAATTAATAGTATACATGCTTTGATATAACTAAGTCTTGTCACAATACTGCTTTATAAATATGTTTATAAAATGTACTTCTTCCATCAAAATACTGTCTTATTTCCACTAATATGCAAACAGAATGTTATAAAATATGATCTGAATTCTGCATGATTCTTTTTTTTTTCTGGAATGTTTCCGGTGATATTTGCTTAACACGAGAGCTGCATATCTAACTTTTATGAGTTCTTAAATTTTTTAAATTCTTGACATTTTGAATTTCAAGAAATTCCAAGATTTAATAGATACATATTTCTGCATTATTATTTTGTTTTCTTAGTAATTTTTATCTAGTTTAAAAAAAAAAACGCAAACAATAATTCTCCTTTGTAAGAAGAAAAAAAAAGAATTAAAAAAATTATGGTCAAAAAGCTGAACTTTAAAAAGTAAAAGGCTAAACATAAACAGCGCAACCTTTAGGTCCAATTGGTCCAGTTATTCCAGAAAAGCCCTGAGGTCCTCTTGGTCCTGTATTTCCAGTAAATCCTATTTTTCCTTTATCACCCTTTTCGCCTTTCAAGCCTGGATTACCTGTAAATTTACAAGATCACATTATTTTTTGCTGACTTGAACCCAAAATCAGAGAAACCTTTCTTTAACTATATGCTTATATCCAATTAATTATAGAACATCTTTAAAAGCTAAATCATTTTTAAATTTTTTGTTTCAGTCTTCCAGTACCAGTTAAATCTTTAACATGTTTATTTTTGTCAGTTTTTAAAAGATTTGATTGTTTAAAAAGAGAGAGAGACGAAGAAGGAGAAACTAGTGAGTTAAAATCGAGTTAAGCCTCGCACGAGTGTTTGAATGGTTCACACTCACTGAAGGAAAATTCCCTGGTGGGAAAATAAATTTATCATCTAAATAACTATTCGTTTGTAATTAAGCACAAAGCTACACAAAGGGCTATCTGTGTTCTGCCCACCACGGGTATCGAAACCCGGATTCTAGCGTTGTAAGTCCGCAGACATACTGCTTGGGCCACTGGAGGGCTCTAAATATCTAAAGCGTCCATTAATTGTGAAATGCGAATACTGAAGGAAAGTTAAATGTAATTCATAAACAGCAACTTACATGCTAGATTTTTTCTCTTCAAATTGCTAACTAAATAGATTAATAGGTTATGTGGTAATTACAATGGAAGCAATACAAATGTTATTTGAAATTTAGAAAACCATAAATGTAATAGGACAAAAATTATAGTTTTTATGCGATAAAACCTATTTCGTGTTCTATTTCTTTTAAGTTAATAAGAAAATATTAAAACTTAAACTATCGACATAACACTTAAGGATAGTTTTGTGAATAAAGTTGTGTATTTTAAAACAGCCCGAAGTTTAACACCCACACACACACACTTATTAGATGCTATGTACATTTGTAACACTGGCACTTGTCCATGTGTAACCAGTTGATTTTGATAGTTAATAATAATACAACTAAGGAGAAAAAGAAAGTAAAAGACGAATTGTATAATCTCGATGTTATTTTATGTTAAGAGCCATGAATTTAATAGAACAAGTAAAGGTGTGATAAATGTCTGTTAAAGTGATATTCATGTTTACTACTAAACCTACGTGTGGATGTAAAGTGATATTCATGTTTACCACTAGACCTATATGTGGATGTAAAGTGATATTCATGTTTACCACTAAACCTACGTGTGGATTTAAAGTGATATTCATGTTTACTACTAGACCTACGTGTGGATGTAAAGTGATATTCATGTTTACTACTGGACATACGTGTGGATGTATCAAAGCCAAGTGTCTTGTATTTTTGTTTGAATTATACAAAAACAATCATATTATACATTAAAAGCACTATTACAAGTGGAGAATTATTTCATAACATTCAGACGGTAATTTAAAATATAATAAATACCTAAGCCTTGACTATTCAATTTAGAAGCTACTTGTAACCGGTTTATTCGAAATCGTGAATATATATATCAATAGTTAATAAACCAAAAACACAACAGCCAAACAAAAACAATAACTGTTAGTGATGCGCTGTTGGACTTTTATATAAAATATTATTGACAATTACTTATAACAAGGTTTGTTACGATAATGGTGCCTTCTTCATTTAACATCACCTAACATATAGAGATTACTTGAGGCAAGGTTCGTTGACACATTGGTGAATTATCCCTTTAATATCAGATCCTCTACATATATCACTTATTACAAGGTTCATGAACGTACTGGAGCGCTCTAAATTTTTCGTATGAATATCATAGAGCAGGATACAGAATCACGATTTGTTAGCAGAACATGGTGTAACGGTGCAATTCTTATCATGGTGCAGACGAAACTTGGATGTTATATTAAAAACTATCATTAAAAACGTGTTGCAACACATGATTCTTACCGTGGTCCAATTAAAGTAGGATATTGTTATCATAAATCATCATGAAAAGCATG